CCCCAAAACCCCAAAACCCCAAAACCCCAAAACCCCTCTATCAAAATAAAATGTAGACGTTGAAATGAAGTAATAGAAATTAAAATTTTATTTGCAAATGTCTCATAATAAGTCAAATTCAAGGAAATCATCCTCAGCCTAGAAATCAAGTCATAAAAGAAAGCATAGCTTTATTAGAATTGCTAACGAGCAATACAATCCATACTTCTAGGAACTATCAAGCATGACCAAGTCTAAAATTGGCGAAATTTTGCTAACAGTTGCTGAGGATGAGATCATAATAGAACAGCAGAGATAAATGCTAGCTGGATTAAAAGAATTTGAACCTTATTCCGCATTCACTAGAATCGATAGAGATGGAAAAGGATTTATTGTTTCAAGAGATTTGCAACATTTTATCAAGTAAATAAACACTCAAATAATTGATTCAATAGAGAAAACGGGAGAACATCATTCTTGGAGAGTGAATGCAATTACCTGATCAAATATTTTGACTCAGAATTCAATGGAAACCTTAATTACACAGAGTACGAGTTGAATTTTAATAATATTTCAATAGTTTTATGCAAATAATGCTGCCCTGTGATGATGCTTACTTGAGAGCAGCAGCTACTTAAAGACCACATAGAAGAACAGCTGCTCATTCAAGGCTTTCCCCGACAGTTGAGCAGAGTTTATCACTTTTATTAGAGAAGTAATCAATTGAATTTCCTTTAACTTTGATAGTGAGATTAATTTCCATCTAATTATTGAGCAACAAAAGAAAGACCTAGAAAATTGTCCTGATTTCAATGCAAGAAGAGCTTTTAAGGCTCTTGATGAACTTAAATACAATTTTATAAATGAAGCTAATCTAAAAATATTTTTGAGAAATATGGGCCATCAAGTCATTAAAAAAGAACTAGTTGCTATCTTAAGGAGACTTGATCTTGATGGCGACTCTAAAATATCATTTCAAGAGTTTGCAGAAGGCATCAAGCCAGTTTCACCATCAATACTACCTCAAGACATAAGAGAGCAGACTATTCAAGAAAGCCCATTAAAAACAATGAAAAAGGTTGAAGCAGAGAGGCAACTCTCGCCTGAGAGAAGACATCACAGTTCATCAAAGAAACAAAGACCTAGATCGGCTGACAAGACTTCATCATCGATTAAAAATAGCACAAAAGATAATTTTGCGAATTAAGTTATGAATCAATCTTATATGAATGATTCACCCAATAAATCAGTCACATTCAATAACAATTTACAAATATAAGAGTTTGAAAAAGAAAGCTAAAATAGATCAGCTATCCTTAAGAAATCACCCATTGTAATCTAAGAGAATAGATCACCATATAATGCTGGAGGTACTAAAGCATCTATTATGACTGAAAGTTTTCTTAAAACACCTACTCACACCTTCGATTAACTAAATACAGGGTTAGAATATTCAGCCACTACCCCGTAAAGGCTAAACCAACCAACTTAACCATCAATTAGACCCAATTAATCTACAATAGAAAATTCAACAATACCCTAAGTAGAAAGGAAACTTGATTTGTCCTAACAATCTCTCAAATTCTCACCTTTGAAATCTCAATAAAGCAATTTTCATGGTAGTGCTAATAACAACTCAAAGATTAAGGAGGAATTGTTAAAAACTATGATTGATTAGGTTTACTTAGAGAAAGAGATAGAGAATATTAAGACTGAATTTGCAAATGCTTCAGAGTTTTCATGTATGGCTGTATTTAAGATATTTGATTATCATCAGAAAGGCTATTTAACTATTAATGATATGGCTGACGCTGCAATCGAACTTACTGGATCTTATCAGGGCAATTTGTAAAAAGATATTCTATTGATATTCAGAAGATATGACCAGGACAATGATGGTAGACTTAACTTCTAAGAGTTTTGCAAAATGCTGGTGCCTCTAGATGTAATGTAAAGCATTTAAGTTACCAAGAGATAAGATTTGAGACTCAGCCATGATGGCTTAGAGACGCTAAGAAAGCTTACAAAAGCTCATTTAAATATTGAGCAATCACATGAATATCTTAGAGACAGAGTATAGAAACTACTTTAATCTGAAAATACGAGTGTATAAAAAGGCTTTACAGAACTAGATAGGGGATCAAAGGGGTATCTAAGTCTCTATGACATCGAAGATCTCCTCAGTGAATACAAAAGATTAAGAGCTAGTGAAGTAGTCAAAGATGCTGAATTTATCCTAAATTTATACGATAAGAAATAGGAAAAGAGACTATCAGCTAGGGCATTCCAAGATGAACTTACACCTAAAGTAATATGATATCACAGATCTATAAAGTATCCCTATCTCTATATATAAGATTAATATTTTTGATTTTACTAGAATTAATTTCAGCAAAGATTTCATTTTTATGAATTGATGGGGTTTTGGGGTTTTGGGG